ATCAACAACAATCAATTGTCAGCATTCTTTCCTCTACGGCTGAACTATCTCCAGAGCCAATGCAGTCAGACACAAGGGCCGGTACGTGGCACTACAGCAAATCATGAAGTTGTCCCGCCTGCCAGCACGCAAGTGCAACAACACCTCACCCACAGCAGCGTGCCAAGCATGCCACATGTCAACCATGGAATGCCAACGCAGCACAGGTGCCACGTCAGCTTCAAGTTTCAGCTCGGCCTTCTGGAGGGATGCCACGTCAGCAATGCCTGGACTGCCAACTCATCCAACACTGGTATGCCACGTCAGAGCTAAGGAACACTACTAGAGTGTGGAGCGCCAGCAGGTAAGTCACGACACAGGTACGTGCCACGTCAAACAATGCCCTGCCAATAGTAGGATGCCATGTCAGCACCCCTGCGGCATGCCACGTCAGTAGTCTCAATATCCACTCTCTCTCTCTCTCTCTCTCTCTCTCTCTCGTCTACCAGCGCTTGCTGCCAATGATACTCTCGCCGGTATCCCAATGCCACATAAGCAACGAAGCGCCACGTAAGCAATGTAGCCGTCTTCCTCTTCAAAGTGTCCACGTCATCATCTTCAAGGGGGGCTGCACGCACGTGTCGCACTCAATGTCTAGACCCGCGATATTAATCGCGTGCGTTTATAAATGTGTTTCGTCCCTTACATGTCACCTCCCACTTACCTGGGCGCCACGTGGCGCCTGACAGCAGAGCGCGACGAAGAAGGTTTGCTCTGATACCAAATTGTAATGAACCCGGACTGGAAGATACTCGCCAGATGTCAAAATACAAAGTAACTCAACTCTGAACAAAGTCCCCAATAATCATGAATGTGATCTCTGATACAATGTCTCGTTTCAAGTAGACAAAGACAGTGGAGGGAGAATAGACATAGTAGAAGGTGGAAGAGAAAGTAGTAATCAACGACCACACAGAGAGTAGCCCAACATTCCCCACTACTTCTCCGGGCTTCCCTCGCCTCCACGTCAGCAAAACAGTATCTGGTAGTGAGCCTGACAAATCCTGATCACATCGAAGTGCCACGTGGCACAGTTCTCTCGTGAAGACGTTGGAAACAATCAACATCGCACAGTATCGACATCAACCTCAGGTAAGTATCCAGATCCTGCTCAATCATCTACAGATCCCGATCTCCCTCCTTGTCGCGTCCAGTCACCCAATGTAGACAGTGTGGCTAAAGCCACATCAGCGATGAAAACAGGTGGCATGCGACAGCGTGGCTAAAGCCACATCAGCGATGAAGACAGGTGGCATGCACCACGTCAGCAATGAAGACAGGTGGCATGCGCCACATCAGCAATGAAGACAGGTGGCATGCGCCACATCAGCAGAGGCTGGCGCTCAGCAGAGAAGGCGCCTGCATGCTGCCTCAGTCCCGCGTCGTCGTCCACAGTGCCAGCACACAGCCAGCGTCAAGCCAGAGTCCAGCTAGCGTCAAGCCAGCGTCACGACAACATAGCAAGACTGAATGTTGACCCCGTGGAGGCAGGGTCTTATTTAGTGATTGACCGAGTTGACATGACTCAGGTCTTCCACCCACGGTGGCTCAGATTGACTCACAGCCGAGGGCCTGGATTGCTACAGTTGCAGACTTTCACTTGGTCCTGATGCTGTCTTGGTACCTGCATACAAACAAGTGCGTGTGTCTGACCGGCGGCCTGGGCTGCGTACATACAGACTTTGACTTTTGGCCCGCTGGGCAGTTGACCAAAGTCCACTGTCTGGCGCACAGGCCCTGTGTCAACAGGGGAACTTCTCCCCCTGGCCTTTGCGGCCTCAGACCGAGGTCGTGGCCTGCGTGTGGCCTGAGGGCCACTTCAGGGCATATCAGGCGGGGTATTGCAATTGGATCGCTGGCAAGAGTCAATCTCAGGATGACAGCAGTGAAGTTTTTGCCCAACCTCTGGAGGATATCCCACATGCCTTCGACTTGTGCCCAACGTCCCACACTAGGACTTTTCAACTGATCTCTGGACGCAATTGCAGTCAGATACATTTCGGGCATCAAAAGGGATGACCTGTTTTCTATAGAGTGACCAGTTATCGAGAGTACAGAATTTGGCCTTGTTGGGATCTCTCATTTTGCCAAACAAACTTTCTACTTGCCCAGATGCATGCTGCAGGTATAGGATAGGGTTGCAATTCTTTCACTGCTAGGGCAGATGGGAACAAACTAGATCACTGGCAAACAGGGACCGACCCTAAAATAATCAACCATTAAGACATAATTTCTGCAACGCCAGGTGATTTTTTGCATAGAGACCAGGACATGAAGTGCACCACTTGACGAGGAGATTGCGCTTTGCTAAGGTCTGGCAGCAGTGCCTTCAAACAGATCCAGCTGAACCAGGACAAACAGCAACTTCAGGTTTGGCACACTTCTTGAGCAAAACGTGTTCATTCTACTTCGGTCAGGTGGTCTTCTAGCAGAGTGGCCACGTGAAGGATAGCCCCCTTGGCACAGAAGGGTTCTATTGTGGGCCACTCAATGCTCTCTCTCTTATCTTATCATGCAAAAGTCGGGTTTATCTCCTTTCAATACTGTTTCCATTCTCTCTTAGTTTCTGGCATGACATACTATCCAGGTGTCAAATGAAGATTCATGCGTTGGCTAGAAGCATTTATAACGGTGCATGCCTCCTTGAATCCATCATACTGATCTGTGTTTGCAGTTTTCGGAGAAATGATTTATACACACGCAAGAACACACACACACACATGCAACAACCAACACACCCACACACCCACACACACACGCACATGCATGCATGCATACGCCTGAACACGTGCACACTCACAACGTCATACAAAGGAGGACCTACTGGGTCTCCCTTAATTCTTTAGGTGCGCTTCCCCAAAAAGATTTGCAGATGCTGGTAGGCCCTCCAGTGTGGCCCAAAAGAGCAATCAGCCCTACAGTTCTCTTTCGGCTAGGCCACTGCGCATTCCCATCAACAGCCAAAACAAAAAGCGGAGGGCCAGTAGGCCCTTCGTGATCTATCATTTCTTGACTGGAGTCACATTCTGGGCCAGCTAAAGAAAACGTGACGGCTGATAACCCCCACCCCGCTGCAGAGGGTCTAAGCCCTCAGTTTTTCCTGGCCATTTAGCTGGAAAAGAAATTGTGGCCAAACATGTGGCCATTGTCCTTTCCAGCGTGGGCCAGAACAGGGCTACCACTGGAGGCCCTGCTGTGGCAGCAGCAACTGTCTGTTGATAGCTGTTGACCTGAAGAAAACAGTCCCTCCACAGTCCGGTATCACAGAAACGGTTGGCTGTGCTCACCACTTGACTTCACCATCTTCCCTACACTATTAAAATCGCTAAGGGAACCAATCTCAGATCCAGGCCGTCGCCGGTCCTACAGGCTCATGGCCTGGATCGTCGGAACCATGTAATAAATCTTGAATCCGGGCCGTCGGATCCTACCGGCCCGACGACCTGGATCGACGCGAAGTCTTAGGATCTTAAGATCTTAAGATCGCACGCGAATCCAGGCCGTTGGGTCCTTCCGGATCGACAGCCTGGATCAATGCCATCTTAAGATCTTAATACTGCGCGTACATCCAGGCCCTTGGCCCGGTACCTCGGGGTGAACGGCCCGACGGCCCAGTTCACAGGCAACTTTGGGTACCTCACTTCGCCATTATTATCTGTTGCAACCGCATCGCGCCATATTTTGTTGAGCTTTGCGCCTACGCATCCATGTTGTTTGCCGTAGTGCGTGCTGGGTATTGCCTCGCGCCGTGTTGTATATGCCTTGCTTGCTGATGTGGACCTTGCTGCGCGGCGCCCAACTCTCTCTCTCGCTCTCTGCTTCTCTCTTTCACTCTGGGCAGACTGTTGGGGTTCAACCTGCTGATGAGTCGGTGAAAGTCTGACGAAACAGTTTGGCACAGTCATGCTATTTTTTGAGTGTATAGCTCGGTGGCGTGGTGACTCCTTATCCATCAGTCAAATGCATCCAGGGCAGACTGTCGGGGGTGAAACCTCCTGATGAGTCG